AGGGTTTGGAGAGAGGAGGGGCTTCAGTGGGGTATACTGCCATAGAGTCCACCTTCCAAAGCAGCCATTTTCACCAGGTGAACTGATCTCTGTTGCCTGGAGATTAGTTGTCATAGCAGAACATCTCCAGCCACTACCTGGAGGTTGGCAACCCTAATTGGAGCTCTGCTGGGGGGGGTGTCCAGAAAGACTTCCTCTTCATAGTGTTCTTTGTCTCAGATGTGGTATTGAAATTAGTTTTTGAGACAATTAGGTGCAACGTCGCCATTTTCACCAGGTGAACTGATCTCTGTTGCCTGGAGATCAGTTGTCATAGCAGAACATCTCCAGCCACCACCTGGAGGTTGGCAACCCTAATTGGAACTCTGCTGGGGGTGTGTGTGTTTTGCCTTGAGCTGGCCAATACTGCACATGTCCAGAAAGACTTCCTCTTCGTAGTGTTCTTCGTCTCAGATGTGGTATTGAAATTAGTTTTTGAGACAATTAGGTGCAACGTCAACACTAACCACTGGATAAGACTATTTTTTAAATAGGGAAGGAAAGCACGGGATCAAAGTCATCATCTTCCAATAAGAAGGAACCAAGTTCCCAACATACTGTATTTCCCTCCCATAGCCCTGACCTGGATAGCCCAGTCCCTTCATATCTCGGAAGCTAAGCAGGCTAGTATTTGGATGGGTGATCTCCAAGGAATACTAGGGATGTGACGCAGAGTCAGGCAATGGCAAACCACCTCTGAAACGTCTCTTGCCTTAAAAAAAGCAAGTCTAGCTTGCCACCTAGAGCTTCCGGCTGCCAGACAATCTTAGGATCTCCTGTCTATACTACACACACTGCCATGTGATAATTAATTCCCTCCGTAAGGGAGGGGGCAGTGGGGTTAAAGAGTTTAGGCTGATTACTTGAGGGAGAATTGAAGGGTGCTGGGGAAATCATAAAAGAGGTCCATTTGAGATCTAAACATTTATACCTCAGTTATCCCATGAAGCTCACTGGGTGTCCTTTGGGCAGTCACTCTCCACAACCAACTTTTCAGGGTTGTTGTGAAGATAGGAAGGGAGAACCATGGGTTCCTTTTTAAGTAAAGAGAGAGGTTAAAAGGGGCAATATGTGTCAGTGGGAGGGGGGTGTAGATCAAGATGGGTAGCCATGTTAGTCTGTCTGTAGCAGTAGAAAAGAGCAAGAGTCCCAGTAGCACCTTAAAGACTGACAAAATTTGTGGCTGGGTATGAGCTTTCGTGAGTCACGGCTCACTTCTTCAGATACAACTAGAATGTGAATCCATCTGCCCTTGCAAAGTAGATGCTGAATGACATTAGCAGGTGAATGATAATAGCAGGCATGATTGGATTAGGTGTGATATGCAGTGGGTAGTAGGGGTGAAGAAATTAGCATTGGTAATGAGACAGGAAACCGAGGTCTCAATTAAGTCCAGATTGATGCATTGTCTTGAGCTTCATTATCGGGGAGTGTGTGTGACATGGAAGAATAGGCCGGTTTATGGAAGCACAAAGTGATCTGAACTGTGGGGAGTGAGAGGAATGGCCAGCTTTCTAACTAACTGCCTTTGTTTCCCTTGATCTTTCTGAAAAGCCTTTGTGGCCTCTTGGTAGGAGGGGGGCTGCCAGGATGGCCATGGGGGTCCAGGACCAGTATGAGCCAGTGGCAGAGATCGGCATTGGGGCTTATGGCACCGTCTTCAAGGCCCGAGACCTGCAGAGCGGCAAGTTTGTGGCCCTCAAGAATGTTCGGGTCCAAAGCAACGAGAACGGGCTGCCGCTGTCGACTGTGCGTGAGGTGGCCCTGCTGAAACGGCTGGAGAACTTTGACCATCCCAACATTGTGCGGTGAGGGCATGAGGACCAGTGAGCCTGAGTATCTTGGGAGGGGAGGAATATAAGGACATAAAAGGAGCCCTGCTGGATCAGACCAGTGGTTCATCTAATGACCCAGGGCTCCCCATTCTTTATGACCCTGAGGGCACTTTAGAAATTTTGGGGAAAGTCTTTCTACCACAAAATGGCTGACGCACAAGGCAATCCTAAAATGGCTGCCATGGGGGCCAGGACCAATCACAAAGTGTTGGGATATAGCAAGCCAAGCATCTCCCTGTGACGGATGTAGGTGGTCCTTTCTGGTTCTTCTGAAGCATCTCCTGCTCCAGGGAGGTGGAGGAAAGCCAGGGTTGGCTGTTCGCAGTTGGTAAGAGATGCTTTGTTGAAGAAGCAAATGGGCTCCAAGTAACCATTGCTGGGCACCATGACATCCAGGGGGACCATGATGGGAATCACTGGCCCAGTCCACCATCTTGTTTCATGCAGTGGCCAAACACTTACCCTGAAGGACCCACAGGCAGGGCGTAGAGGCCAAGGCCTGACACTCATGCTGCCTCCTAGCACTGGCATTCAGAGGGTGCCTCTGGTTGTGAGAGGGCATACTATGGCTAATTTCTAGGGGGAAAGTGATGAGATTCAAGGATTCCTGAATCTTCAGCCTTAACACTCTGGGCAACCTTTCTTTTAATCCCAAACATGTTGGGAAGGGGGTCGTGCATTCTTCACACACTTCATGTGGGATGTCCCAAAGTAGGGATGCATTATTGAAAATAACAATTGGAGCCTGTGGCATGGCTTAAATCAAGCCATTGTGTTGAAGATGAAATCTTGCCACCCATAAAGTCAGGAAGCGCTTATCCAAAGCTGTATCCTTCTCTGGCAACATCCCATTTTCCAAAGCCTGAAGACTCTAGAAGAAGAAGAAGAGATTGGATTTATACCCTGCCCTTCACTACCCGAAGGAGTCTCAGAACAGCTTACAATCCCTTTCCCTTCCCCTCCCCACAGCAGAGGTAGGTGGGGCGGAGAGAGCTCTTTAGAGAACTGCCCTTGAGAGAACAGCTTCGACAGAACTTGTCACTGACCCAAGGTCACACCAGCAGCTACATGTGGAGGAGTGGGGGATCAGACCCGGTTCTCCCAGATTAGAATCCACGCTCCTAACCACTACACCAAACTGGCGCTCTCTCTCTATTTGGCAGTAGATTGATGATGTCTTTTCTGTTTACTCAAATAGAGCAGAGCGTCCTTCATAAGAAAAAGTGAAGCCTGTGGTTTCTGGGCCTGGATTATGGAATTGGCAGGTTTAACTTGGGGGGGGGGGAGTTTTGTTCAGAGAGGACACATCTGCCTTTGGTTCAGAGCTTAGAACCAGCCATCTTGATGCTTGGACACCCCTTCTTCAGAAATCGATTCAGGCTTTTCGCTCCCATTCAGACTCCATCTTCCAGAACAGAGGCTTTCAACAGGTAGCTCATGAGCTATGACATCTCACTGGCTGCTATAGCCCATTGAAATCCCAGGGAAAGATCTGCTCTAGGCAGTTTTAGTTTATTTCATACAGGCCTTTTCCTCTGTGTGCTACTTAGCTGATAGCTTCCTTGCTGATAAATCAAGACGGGTAGCCGTGTTAGTCTGTCTGCAGCCATAAAAAAGAGCAAGGGTCCAGTAGCACCTTAAAGACTGACAAAATATGTGGCAGGGGGGTATGAGCTTTCGTGAGTCGCTGCTCACTGATTCTTCAGGTATCTGAAGAATTGAGCAGTGACTCATGAAAGGACATACTCTGGCACATACTTTGTTAGTCTTTAAGGTGCAGCTTCACTGCTGGTTCTCTTCGTAGTCCTGCGTTCTGTTTCTAGGGGCAGAACAAACTTGGGAACATTGCCTGGGCAGGGTGGGGGGTAGATTGGGGATAAATTTAATTACTCTCATTAAAGATAAGGTTCGAGACCCCTCTTAAATGCTGGCTGTTTTTGCTGCCAGGCTGGGATTTCTGAAGCAACAGGAGGGAAGGGGGTGTCCAAAGGAATTCTGTTTATTTTATATACTGGTTTATCTCTCATTCTGCCAGCTCCAGAATCAGGTGGGTGGGAACAGTCTGGGGCTAGAAAGAAAAGAAGGACCTGCGTGGGCATAGTGTGCAGCAGAAGGGGCACCTAAGGGACCCCCTCCCCAACCCACAGCCATGACTAGGCTAGACAGGCATTGCAGCTTTTCTTAGTTTGATCAGATCATCATGTACAGACTGGGCTGACAAAGACGAAAGGAGAGAGAATACCAGTGTCTGATGCTGCTGCTGTTTAGAGACAGATAGCAGCCCTGTTAACTCATGTTTCTGGAATTCTGGACCTTGAAAACGGTAGGGAGGTACATCTCAGGGCCAAACCAGAAGATAACCACATCCCCAAGTCCACCAAGGGTTGTGGCGCCATTTTAGAACTTGGTATTTAACTTTTCAGAACATCACGGGAGCCTGGCCCTGCTGGTCTCCATCCGGCCCCACACCTTTTTGAAAAGTTAAAAAACAATCTCTAAAATGGCTCCATGTCATCTGTAGTGGACTTGGGGATACAGTTATCTAACAGTTTGGCCCACAGCTGTCCTTCTCAGAAGTTTTCTGGATCGTCCCCACACCCCTCCACTGCCCTCTCTCCTGTACAAGATTTGTTCATATGCTTAAACCCTGCCTGCTTTATTGAGAGGGCAAAACAAGAGAAGCAGACAACTGACTGGCCATTGGGCTCTGCTTGCTCAAACCTCGTGGTGAAGAATCTGCAGAGCTTCCACTGTTATCAAGTAAGCCAGATCAGAATTTAGTCCCTCTGTTTGCAGGGCCTGCAAATTGGGATTCATCTGGAAAGTTATTCCATTTGGCTGTCTCTGGCATCCATGAAGAAAAGTACGCAATTTACAGTTTACAACTGGGTAGTGCTGACTTAGGAAGGCAGTTCGGAATGGAGGAGGAGGAGGACATTGGATTTATACCCTGCCCTTCACTTGGAGTCTCAGAGCGGCTTACAAACTCCTTTCCCTTCCCCTCCCCACGACAGACACAGAGATTAGTAAATGATCGTGGGAAATTGCAGGGCCATAATAAGGAGAATTTGCAACGGGTGTCAGAAGTGCCACTGGAACAAAGGTTGGGACGTGATATGTGTGAAGGATGGGGTGTCATACATGAGAAGAAAGGGAATAGCGGACAGTGAGACCACGTGGTTTGGGTAGTCCACCTTGTGGGTCTCGATTAAAGTGCACAGTATGGCATGCAGCAGAATAGTGTCGTGGGGTAAGGTCAGTGATGATCTCTTGCATGAACACGTGCATGAAGTTGCCTTATTCTGGGTCAACCTGTTGGTTTATTGAGGTCGGTATCATCTCCTCGGGCGAGTCTGATCTCGTCAGATCTTGGGAGCTAAGCAGGGCTGGCCCTGGTCAATACAAGGAAGACCAGGGCTGCAACACAGAGGCAGGCAATGGCAAACCACCTCTGAAAGTCCCTTGCTTTGCAAACCTGATGGGGTGGCCATAAGTTAGCTGTGACTTGAAGACATTCCACCACCATATCATATACTCAAGACTGGCAGCGGCTCTCCAGGGTCTTAGGTCTTTCTCATCACCTACTGCTAGATCCTTTAACTGGAGCTGCCATGGATTGAACCTGGAGCCTTCTGCGTGCCAAGAAGGTGCTATACCCATGAGCTACAGCCCCACTCCCTCCCCTCTACGTATCCCAGTTTACAATACTGGGTCTTACAACCTGTTTCAGTTCCAGCCTGTTCACCCCATTAGGACAGTGCCTAATTGTGCCGATCCAATTTGAGAATTGGAATGTTTACGAAGCACCTTTCCCCTCATCGCTCTCTAGGCTAATGGACGTTTGCACGACAACACGGACTGAACGTGAAACCAAAGTAACGCTGGTGTTTGAGCATGTGGATCAGGACCTGAGAGCGTACCTGGATAAAACGCCTCCGCCTGGCCTACCAGCAGAGGCAATAAAGGTAATACTTCTGGGTCCTCAGTGTTTTCCTGGACCCGTTTTGGGAAAGTACCGGTTTTCTGGGCAGGTACCTGAATGTAAGTTACATACAGCATTGCATGTGATGCAGCATGCTTTTCTGCCTTGTCCAGGACATGATGCATCAGTTTTTGAGTGGCTTGGAGTTCTTGCATGCAAACTGCATTGTTCATCGTGACCTCAAGCCTGAGAATATTCTGGTAACCAGTTCTGGTCAAGTCAAGTTGGCTGACTTTGGCCTGGCTCGTATCTACAGCTGCCAGATGGCTCTGACACCACTGGTAAGTCTACCTGGTCTGGGTCTAGCAGAAATCCTGAATGATTTTTTTTAAAATCCATGGTTTTTTCCTCTTTAATACAGGCCAGTTGGGAGGTTCACTACAGATCAGTTCTCAAACTTTTGAGATAGTGGCTTGGGGAACCTGTTTTTTTAACAGTTGTTTCTAACGGCACAAAAGGAGATGCCCAAGAATCCTACGTTGTGGATGGGTGATATATGAGGACAGTCCTGTCCGCAGCCAAAAACTACAAAGCTGGACTAGCAGTCTGGGAGAATGGGGGTTGGTTGTGCTGGCTGGATATTATGGGAAAGAAGAACAGTTATGCGTGCACACATAGACAGGCAGTGAACCCCCAGTAGGCTCTTTTGGCTTGTTCAGCACAACCTTGACGCACTTTGGGTGACTCGCCTCTTGATGAGAGTTCTAAACCAAGGCTTGTGTAGTTTGTGAGTCAGGGAAAGGGAAGTGGCCCACCCAGAACCTGGGATCATTTCAAGTATGTATCTTGAAGTGAGGTCTCATAATTCCACAGCTCATGAGTTCCTCTTCTTTTGGACTGGACATATGAATATGAATACACAACACTCATGAATTTGTGACAAATGGAGTGAAGAAGACTTGTGTTTTACTCACGGATGCTACTATCTCTGTCTCCTTCCACAGGTAGTTACCCTCTGGTACCGTGCACCAGAAGTGCTGCTCCAGTCAACTTACGGGAGTCCTGTGGACATGTGGAGCGTTGGCTGCATCTTTGCGGAGATGTTTCGAAGGAAGTGAGTGTGGCAGAGAGGATGTGGGACGGTCTGCAGGGGCAATGATGGTTGTTGGTACATCTGACCAAATTCGGGGAGTGGGCCATGGGTTTGCTGTAGAGAATGGACCCTGGACTTGGTGGGGACATACATTTTGTGTAGGTTGCTGAAATGTCTGCTGGGATGCTCTGTACCAGGAATGTGATGCAGTTAAAATGAAAACACCCTAGAAATGCCGCTTGGTGTGGCAGACTAGGATTCTGGAGACCTGGGTTTGAATCCCCGCTGTTCTGTGGAAACTCACTGGGTGACTTCGAGTCAGTCGCGTTCTTGGCCTAACCTGCCCCAAAGGGTTGTGGTGAGAATAAAATGAACGAGGGGAGAAAAGTGTTGAAAGTTGCTTTGGGTGCCCTATTGCTGAGAAAAGCAGGGTATAAATGCATATAAATACATATTTAAAAATGGCTCGTATTAGATCATTGATTAAATTCTATGACAATATTTGTAGGGTTACTTGGGGGTTTGCAAAAGTCTGGGTGAACTGGCTTTTCTCCAAGATGGGTGGATTTTGACAAAATATGTTACATCCTTTTGTTTTTTACTTTTTGAGTCCTTAGTCTCCAGCAGAATGCATTGTAAATAAAAGGCCAGATTGATAGGGGTGAGTATGGGTAATGGTTCGAGGCAGAATTCTTGCCTCCAGACCCACATATATCCCCCCCCCAGCTTTGAAAGTCCTTGGCAGCCCCCCATTGCAGTTTAGTGAATCATCTTTACCGAGGTCAGCAACACAGCTGGAAAACAATAGATTAGGGCTGGGCCTGCCCAGAGCGTCTGTTCTGCTTATCTTTCAGGCCGATAGAGCAGAGACTGTTGCCACATCTTTTTTCCACAGAGCCGCTCCCCACCCCCTCCCTGCCTGTCTGGGGGGGGCAGGGAATGGAGGTTGGGGTTGGCCCGTCTTCCTTCCCCTGCAGTTATCAAGCAGACGCGTTAGGGGCTGGATGGGCAACGTGGAGTCTTCTGCTGAGGAGGAGTGGAATTCTTTCCAAAGCGTGTTTAAAATTCTCTCTCTCTCACTCCCCCCCCCTGGACTGTGGGGGAACACCCAAAGTGTCTTTCATTGTCAGAAACACCCTGATTTTAACAGAGAAAAAAATTGGAAAGGGTGGCATTAAAAGAATGTTTCACGCCAAAACAATATGCTGACATTGAAGGTAGAATAACATGCAGTCCTTGCAATGGTCAAATGTGTGATGCTCTCTTGCTCTCGTTTCTGCACCTGTGTTCAGGTGCTCACTGTGAAACAATAGCCAGTCGTGACACTGAGGCCATAACTATATATGTATGCTTCCTGTTCTGCTAAGCAATGGGCTACCTAATGTTTTCTGTATGGGAATTATGTGGAACTTGAAAGGGCTCTAATTGGTCCCACGTTTACCTTGTATCGCCCTTCATTCTCTGCATGGGGCTGTCCTGGTTTGTTATTGGCTCGTGACCATGGTCTAGCTCTCCAAGGACTCTGCGTATTTGTGAGCTGAGCGGATCCTTTTGTTCAAGGTGCCCACATCACGCAGTGGTCTTGCTTTGTGTACTTGAGCTGGTCTGTGAGGAGGCATGTTCTTTTTTCCTTTTAAACTCCCCTTGTCATGTGCTGACAGAACAGTCAGATGACCACTTGGTATAAGGGATTGGTCCTCCCACCCCTGGTCAGAGTATTGTGAACTGTCTTGTGGCTTCCATATAGGGCACAGCAGTGGGGTTTTATTTGGTTGCTGTACTAGTCCAGAGCCAGCAGTGAGTAGCTAGTGGGAAGTAATGGTTAAAAAGTTGGTTGCAGTCATATAAGCCGCATTCTCATAAACATTTTCTGGTTCTCTGTCTTGGCCTACAAGTGCAGCAAACCAGTGCCAGGCGGAAAACAGAAAACATGTCGTGTTAAGTTTGGTGAAGCTGGGGGAGCTGTGCACAGGCTTACTACAGTGGATGGCCTCTCCCATTTTTCTCTCTTCCTGCCTCCCAGGAGATGAGGGTGATACAAGAAAAGCCCCATCTTCTAGACAGGGAAGTCTGCATGTTCTAGAGCTTTTACTGGAACAGTCCCCCCCCTTCCTGGTGGAACTGGCTTTTTGTGGATGTCAAGAAGGCCCTCACTCGGTTGGCTCTTTGAAGGCTGTAAAAAAAAAAGCCAAACTATTTAGATGGGCATCTCTTGGAAAACTGGGTCACCTGAAGCGGTCTAACCTTTTTAGACCATAGTTGAGGGATGGGTCTTGTGTGACAAGAACTATTGTTTGGCGGTTTTATTCCTGGTTTTGTGATGGTTTTAAATAAACTTGCTTTGAGTCCTCTGTGGAGAAAACTGTGTTAAAAATGCCATAAATGGAGGGTCCCTGCTTCCGGGGACAGAGTGGGCAAATCCTACAGGCTGGGTTCCTTGTTCTTTTGTGGTAGCCCTTTTCCCTCTCAGTAAACCCTGTACGGGTTCATTCATCACTGGTCTGGGCGGCTGTTAGGCCTGGGTTAGGAGGTGGGGCCAGTAGAGTCCCCACCACAATAACCACAGTTCTCTTTGTGCTCTGCAGGCCTCTCTTCTGTGGCAACTCCGAAGCCGACCAGCTGGGCAAGATTTTTGAGTGAGTCTCATGCCCTTCCTTTGTTCCGGGGGGCTAAGTCACCAGGGGATTGGCAGCCTCTTTTTGTCGTCGCCCCCATAGGCTCTTTTGGCTCGTTCAGCACAACTTTGGTGCACTTTGGGTGACTCGCCTCTTGATGAGGGTTCTAAACCAAGGCTTGTGTAGTTTGTGAGTCAGGGAAAGGGAAGTGTCAATATCTCAGTTGTGAAAACTCCCTTTCAGTTGACCTCTGCCAGATCACAAAACCAGCCGGCCAGAGGCCACAGGGGGAGTCAGCTGATGATTACAGTTAAGTGCTAAGTCTCAGGGTCAGGCAACCTTTTTGATCAAAATGCCAAAAAAGTAAATGGGGGGGGGGAGATGCAGCATCTACCTGTGAAAATGTTGGTGTGCTGGCAAGCGTGGGGGGGGGGAACTAAGGTTGCACTTTGCCAAGCACACCAGGAGGAAGCTGAGTCCCTTGGGTGCTTGGGGGAAAATATGTGGGAGGGCTTCTGGAGTTCTGGCCCCACTGATGAACTCCTGATGACACCTAAATTTTGGCTACTGTGTGACACAGAGGGTGCATTCAGACGGGGGCTTTACATCGGTATAGGTGCCGGTTGCAATCGTTGTACTCACCGGCGTTCAGACGGCGAACATCTGCCTCCCGTCCCTAACCGGTGTAAAGCCCTTTACACCATTGCACTCTGCCACTAGGTCCCCAAGTGGTGGTATCCTGAGTGCAACGGTTGTAAACGCTGTACCTCGCCGTCTGATCGCTCTCCACCGTTGCACAGCTACTTCCGTTCAGAAGCCTCAGGCTTCCAATTTTCGGCCGCCATTTTTTTTAAGGACGACGATATGCGCTTGGGCGAAGCTTCGCCCTGCCGTTTGTATAAAAAAAGAAAGAAAAGGGCCTTACTCTGTAGCGTTTCGGAGGCGTCCAGGACCTCCGGGAGGCTACTGTGCTCTTTAAACTTTAAAGGAAAGTCCTAACCTTTAAAGTTTAAATGTACGACAGGGTTTTTTGCGCATGCGCGAAGATCGCCATTCTATGGGTGGCTGCCTATGCGCATGCGCCAACTAAGTAAAAAAATCCCCCGAAGACGAGTGTGGACGGGCGTATTGCGATGGCTTCCGCTGTGAGGGAGGTAAGTGTGATCGCGTTTCTGCCGGCATAAACTGCACCAGTTCCAACCGGTACAGTTTATGCTGGCAGAAACGCCCCGTCTGAATGCACCCAGAGTGTTGGACCGGATGAGCCATTGGCCTGATCCAACATGGGTTCTCTTATGTTCTTATGTTTTTGTTCGAATACCATTTCGTACCAGTAAGTAGGGTCCCAGTTGCATCAGGAGAAAGGCAGGTTATATGAAGTCTTTCACCTTGCCCCCATTAGAAGTCACGCTGAGACATTTTTAGTCTTGCAGTGTCCAGTGTTATTGCTGCCTTGAGCCTTTCTCCTGGAATATGAAAATTAAGGGTGTGAAGAAACCCAATGTTAAATGTTCCATGATATATTAAGTTGGAAAATATTTGGGGAAGAGAAGAAAGGCTTTTACAGAAAATTAGTTTCTTAACATTTTCTTAATGGTTATTTCTTAAAAACCTCTGTTGGCTGCCTTTGCACCCAGACAGCTTCCCAAAGGCGACCAACATCAAAACATTTCAACATTAAAACACTCAGGATAATAAAGCAGCATTTAAAACAGAGTATATATAAAATATTTAAACAATTCAATTTAAAATATATATATAAAAACACCTAACAACCAGGGAGGAGGGTCAATAACAGTTATGGGGGGTGGGTGGGGATAGGCTGTACAAAACAATGGCTTCACCTACTGGCGGGAGACAGGCGCATCTCCCTGGGGGAGTGAGTTCCAAAGATTTGGTGCCATGAATGAGAAGGCCCTTCTGTGGGTCCCCACCCGTCTAGCCTCAGCTGGTTGGGACACCCGGAGCAGGGCCTCTGGAGATCTATATTTATTTTTTATTCTATCTTTCAAATTTATATTCTGCCCTCCCCATGAACGGACTCAGGGGAGATCACAACAAATAACCAGGCCATTCGGCATCACAAAAACACTATGATAAAATAGTTGATTAAAACATTAAAACAAGGCATTTAAAAGCAGATTGCAACAAAACGGATCGCACCAACCTAAGGGGATGGGTAGAAGGTGGTCCTTTGAGTGGGCTGGCCCCAAGCAGTATAGGCTTTAAAGGTCAATACCAGCACCTTGAATTGGGGTCAGAAGCAAATTGGTACCCTGTGTAAAATGGAACATGAATAGAGTGATAATGGTTGCTGCAACCCAGTCAGCAATCCAGCCGCAGCTACCAACTGTAGCTTCCAGGCAGTTGTGAAGGGTAACCCCATGTAGGGCACATTGTGGTAATCTTAATACAGTTGTTACCAGGACAAGCTTCACAGAGGCAAGATCTTTCCCACTCAGGAAGGTTTGCAGCCGGCTCACCAGCCAAAGCTGATGAAAGGCATCGCTGCCACCTGTTTATTTAGCAGTAAGCCTGGGTCCAAAAACCACCCCCAAGCTGCAAACTTGCTCTTTTAGGGGGAGTGCAACTCCATCCAGAACATGAGATATCCCAATTCCTGGGTCCAACCCTCTCCCTCACCATTAGCACTTCAAATTTGTCCGGATTTAGTTTGCTAGCCCTTGGCTGTCCCGAAACTGTCTCCAAGCACCTATTCATGTTGCTCTTGATGTATTTTGTGAGAGGTGAAGAAGGCAATATGGAAATGGGGGTGGGGCAAGGAGAATAAAGAGAGCCGAATGGCTCTTGTTCATATCTCACACAAGTAGCTATTTGCAGTTTTGGTTTTTCAAGTTTCTAAAGGTTTAACCTTCACTTAGTAACATCAGAACCCTTTTTGACTTACAAGAGGAGAAGAATTCTGGCTAGGCTGCATGACAGAGAACTTGATTTCCCCGAGGTGGGAGCTTTTTAGCCACATATCCACAAATAAGTGTTGCCTCAGGACACCCAGACTGCTGTGGCTAATGTGTTCTCCTTGACTTGCAGTCTGATTGGGCTCCCATCTGAGGAAGACTGGCCACTGGACGTGTCTCTGCCACGCTGCGCCTTTGCCGCCCGCCTCCCACAACCTGTTGAGAAATTTGTACCGGAAATTGAGCTCCTGGGAGCCCAGCTGCTTTTGGTGAGTTCCCCTAAAGGGACAGCAACAATTGAGGGCAAGGGGACTGAAGCCCCGTTAGCTACAGATGGAGCATTGGGAAGGTAAATGGGATGGTGGCCACTGAGGAGGTATCTGTCATGGCTTACTGGTAGATGATGTGGTTACTGTGCAATCCATTTCAGCCTTCATCCCCTCCATCTCTTGTTGAAGGATCTTGGGTAGTAGCAGTTATTGGGAAAGACCTTTCCTTTGCCCGTGTCCCTGGAGAGAGTCATTGCCAGTCAGAAGAAACAATGGCTTGCCCTGACCTGGATAGTCCAGGCAAGCCCGATCTCATCAGATCTCGGAAGCTAAGCAGGGTCAACTCTGACAAGTACTTAGATGGGAGACCTCCTTGGAATAGGCTTTATTCAGCCACCTCTCTGAATATCCTCCAGGCCCCCAGTAGGGGTCAGTCACCAGAGGTCGCCATGGCTTCCAGGTGCACACACACTCACATGCACATATGAAAGATACAAAAAATACCCCCCTTAAAAAGAAGAAGAGAAGAAACAGTGGCTTTAAAGGTGGAGTAGACAAATTCATGGAGGTCCATCAGTCGCTACTAGCCTCCACATCCAGAGGCAGAAAACTTCTGAATACCAGGAATACCAGTGCTAGGAAGTAACATTGGAGAAAGGCTGTGGCCTCTAAAGAAACCCCAGAGGTTTGGCATACTACCTCTACAACGCTTATCTTTCCAGCTGTTAGCCATCCAGCGGAACTGGTTGGCCACTGGGTGAGATAGGAAGCTGGACTAGATGGACTGTTGGGCTCTTCTTCTTCTTACTGTACTGAGCTTGGTGGACTAATGGGTTGTCTTCATACAAGGCAGAAAACTATATGTACAGGTTGGGCTTTAATGGTGTGTACAAATAATGGGATGTGTGACTCTCATGTCCTGGGTTGCATTAATATCCAAGGCTGCTTCCATATAGGGGTTTTCCCTGCATGGGCATCAAGAACACATGAAGCTGCCTTATACTGAATCAGACCTTTGGTCCAACAGAGTCAGTATCATCTACTTAGACTGGCAGTCACTTTCCATGGTCTCAGGCAGATGTCTTTTTGCATCATCTACCACCAGATCCTTTAACTGGAGATGCTGGGGATTGAACCTGAGACCTTCTGCATTCAAAACAGATGCTCTGCCTCTGAGCCATGGCCCCTTCCTGAAGCTTCTGGTTAAAACATGGAATTTGCTGCCAGAGGATGCAACGATGGCCACAAGCGTAAATGGCTTTAGGAGGAGATTAGACAGTCCATGGAGGATAGGCCTATCAGTGGCTACTAATCATGGTGACGAAAGGGAACCTCCACGATCAGTGGCAGTAACCCTCTTGATACCAGCGCTAAGAAACAACATGGGAAAGTCCATGGCCTCCATACCCTGTCGTTGGCCTTCCAGAATAACCACTTTGGCTGCTTTGAGACACAGGATGCTGGACTAGATGGAGCCCTTGTCTGATCCGGCAAGGCTCTTCTTGTATTCTTACGTTGCTCAAACATAAATCTCCTTTGATCTGACTCAGAGGGGGGACTGTGGGGTTACTGTGCCCAGTGTACGCCTCTGGATGTCCACCTGTAGCCTCTACGGGGACGAGGTGAAGCTTTCGCTTTTCGAAATACTGTCCTTGAACAGCATTGTTAAATAGAAAAAAATTAGACCGGCATTGTAGTGCTACCTTTGTGTGTAAGTGGAAAAGGCTGTTCAGATTCAATGTCTCTCCCCCCCTTGTCTAAAAGTGTACTGCAGTGGTTTCAAAAAGCCCCTTCCACTAATATCATGGCTTTTATGGTAGCTGGAGTGGACTGTAGGATACATGCCGTTCTGTCTACATGGATTAATATTGGTGCTGATGTAGTAGGAGTCAAGAAGGGCTGTGGCTCAGTGCAACAGCTCCTGCTTTGCAGGCCCGAAGGTCCCAGGTTAAGAACATAAGAGACGCCAATGTTGGATCAGGCCAAAGGCCCATCCCGTCCAACACTCTGTGTCACACAGTGGCCAAAAATACCAGGTGCCATCAGGAGGTCCACCAGTGGGGCCAGGACATTAGAAGCCCTCCCACTGTTGACCCCCCCCCAAGCACCAAGACGACAGAGCATCACTTGCCCCAGAGCCCCTATCTATACCTTGTGGCTAATAGCCACTGATGGACCTCTGCTCCATATGCTTATCTAATTCCCTTTTGAAGTCGTCCATGCTTGTAACCGCCACCACTTCCTGTGGCAGTGAGGTTCAATCCTCAGCAGTATCTCTAACTAAAAAGTCCAGGCAGTAGGTGATATAAAAGACCTCTGCCTAAGGTCCTGGAGAGCTGCTGCCTGTCAGAGTAGACAATACTGACTTGGATGAACCGGTGATCAGATTCAGTATGAGGCAACTTCATGTGACCTCCTAGTTGCCGCCTTACGTGGTTCAGTCTAGGAATGTGTGTCAAGCTCTTTGGTTTTGGCCCACCATGACTGCCAAGCTGTGGACAAAGGACATGCTCTGTTCAAACAGCTGGCCTATGTCTCTGCATGCCGAGATATTCATTGCCTCAGCCGGTCTTTGGGGAGGGGAGGGGTTATTTGCCTGTGTGGGAAAGAGGCAGATGAAGGTTGGTGATTCAGCATGTGGTGGCAGAGTGACTGCTTACCTTTCACATTTTCGTGCCGTCTTTGAGAGCTGCAGTGAATAATGTCCTGTGCGAACACTCCCTTAGTCATAGAAGCACACAGAGCAATGCTTTTTTCCCAAAATTAGGATTAACAACAGATTGGGCTGTGTGTTGGTAAGCATTGCTGGAATTAGCTGGGGGGGGAAGCACAGTGTGTTTCCTTTCTGTTTGTTTAGCGCATACCAAAGTCTGTCCCCAAGTTCTGTTTTTGTACCGTCACTTGTTGATCTTGCACATGGGAAGTTTTGGAGGCAGGCCAGCTTGGGCAATATTTACATGCACATCTAATGAATTTCCTTTTTGTCTCTCTAGGAAATGCTGACCTTCAACCCTTACAAGCGTATCTCTGCCTTCCAAGCACTGCATCATGAATACTTTCAAGACAAAAGGGCTGTGGATGGGTAGCATCCATGCAGACTTATGGGAGAGGGGAAAGACTGTACAGAAGACTTGTGTGCATATAGGTGTGTGAGGATAATATTGTACCACACTAAGGGGTTCTTGTCTCCAAGTTTCCTGGCTGTGCTGGGAATTAAGGGTGGGCAGGAAGCGAGTGTTGCCGGCACGCATTTAAGGAAAAGTGCGTGTTGCGGGAAGTGCAATGTTCTAAATCCGTCCCACCTGAGAAATGGTGGGATTCTCGTAATATCTCTGTGCCGCCCACACCATACACATTTCATGTACCTGGGTAGATACCCCCAGGCGTTCTTGAGGGCCCCGTTTGTTTATAGTAGGGCCCAGTTTGAGGCATCCTCACTCACGTCGTCTGTGGATTCTTTGCCAAAGGTATCGCCAATGCCTTTTTTTTTCCATAGAAAACTTATAACAGTTTACACAATAATGTTGCTGCCTTTTCCACATTCCTGTGGCTGACAGTTGGACACTCAAAACCCTGCCTTAACTTGTTACGGAGCTCCATGGAAATGGGAGCAAGAGGATATTTTTGTACCAATATTCACAATTTTTTAAGAAATTGTCTTCAAGAGCCAAGACCAGTCAAGGACATTCCTGTATCAATGTGTGTCTTGGCATAGTGATTAACGACCTCTGTTTTTGATTCTAGTCAATCTTTTTTTTTTTTAAAGAAATGCTTCTAAAAATGATGATCTTCAATAAAATGATATGGATTAGGGGGGCCCGGCAAATGCAGTTGAATCTTTCCCCCCTCCCTCTTTTTAACGTTTGATAAACGCCTCCTCGTAGGAAGAAGGATGGGACCTATACAGATGCCAGTGGTGGCATGTGTCCAAATCACTTGCATCAGCCGTGGGGCCCTATAGCTTTGACGCATGCCTGACAATTTTCTGCTCACTTGCACAGACTCAACCTCTGGGGAATTTCTCCTGTTGAATAAGAAAATCCCAAGTTTGAATTTTTTTTGCAGGGACATGTTGAATTTCTGAACAGACATGCCTCTGTACTATCAGGGTACTTGTGTGGTTAGGGTGGAGACAGAGAGAGAGAGAGAGAGAGAGTACTCAGCATTAGCTTGTATCCTGCTCATACAAAATGTCCCCCATTCCTCAGTTTCTTGTGGCTCCATTGATTCTTCTACCCAGTTTCCTTTATATGAAGGCCTTTTCCTGAAGCCCTAGTGAGTTGCAGCCAACAGGAGTTGGGACAACGGCCTGCCTCAACATCAGGCAACTGCACAGGCTCCAATTTAAATGCTTGCAAGGACATGAGGTTTGGATTCACAAGCAAATCCTCCTTTCTTTTCAGCCTCCCCCCAGAAAGCATAACTTGATTGTGGCATTTGTGAGGTGAACTACAGGGAACGTTTGAAAACCATGCAGTCAGAAACACAGGCTAACCAAAATATAACAGGATCACAGTATATAACCTTACAATAAATACAAGAAAACCACAGTGAATGAAGGCTGCTCAGGTCAGAGACCATGTAGTAAATATATGTATTTAGACCTGTATCTAGATCTGTAGACCTGAATTAAAACCTATAGTTGCTTTTCTAGTATGGATCAAAAAACAATCACAAGGTTTCAGCTATGTGAAACAAACTACAAAATTCAGTTAATACAATAATAACAAACCTCCAACTTGTGATAAGCTTGCGTGAAACAAACAACAAAGTTCTGTTAGTACAATATCAACAAAGTTCCAATTTGTGGTAAACTGACGAGCATCTCAGTTTCAACTCGTTTCATCAGTAGTTCCTCAGAAAATAGTCTCTTAATGAGGAACAAAAGCCTTCCAATGCTGACTATACTGGCAAAAGTTTCAAAACATTTGCCAGCATTGTCAGAATTGGAAGGCTTTTGTTCCTCATTCAGACTTCAGAGACTGGTTTATTTCCTATATAAACTTGGCATTTTGAGACTTTAGTTCCAGACGACTCTATGGAAGAAACTTTACTGAAAATGTCTTTGGAGTTGACTATTTTCTGAAGAAGACTACTGATGAAACAAGTGGAAACCAAGGTGCTCAACCGTTTACCACAAATTAGCTTCATTGTTACTGTACTAACTGAACTTTGTTGTTTGTTTCACGTAAGTTTATCACAAGTTGGAAGTTCTTTATTATTGTATTAACTGAATTTTGTAGTTTGTTTCACATAGCTGAAACCTTGTGATTGTTTTGACTGGGTTTTAATACAGGTCTACAGTCCTTTATTTGGATAAACCATGTATTTAGTACATAGTATTTGATGTAAGTTGAGCAGCCTTCATTCACTATGATTTTTTTTGTATTTATTGTATGTCGAAAGCACAGGCAACATTATAGTGCCCTCCTATCTTTGGGAAAGTGGGTGGCATCTTCAAACCCACTTAAGGCACTGTGTGTGGGGGGGGGGTATAGCTTGAAAAAGATCAGTGCAAACTTACTGTTGGATGAAGAACTCAGCCCGCCCGATTGTAACCATTGAAATGCGCTGAATATTCGCACAAATCTAGATATTACACTACACCAGGGGGTCCCCACCAAGTGTTTTTAGAAAGTGGGTGGGGCTCTTGCCCAGTTGGGCTTCTGATTGGACACTGAATATCTGATTGGCTATGTGGCTCAAGTGGTTAAGACGCTGAACTGCAGGCTGTGGAAGGTCGGTAGTTCAGCAGTTCGAGACCCGGGTTGCCGCATGACGGAGTGAGCTCCCGTCTCTAGTTCCAGCTCCTGCCAACCTAGCAGTTCGAAAGCAAGAAATTGCAAGTAGATAAATGGGTACCACTTCGGGTGGGAAGGTAACAGCGTTCCGTGCGCCTTGGTGTTTAGTCATGCCGGCCACATGACCACAGAAACGTCTTCGGACAGCGCTGGGTCTTTGGCTTTGAAACGGAGATGAGCACCGCGACCCTAGAGTCGGATTCGACTGGCTTTCGAGCAAGGGAAATATTATAATCTGCTACCTTTTATGCAGATTATAATAACACTGTTTCAGCGGTAGCGGCCACCCCATTGGTTGTTTGATTGTCTCTTACTCCTCTTCCCCAGTTAGGTGTAGTGGTTAAGTGTGCGGACTCTCATCTGGGAGAACTGGGTTTGATTCCCCACTCCTCCACTTGCACCTGCTGGTGTGACCTCGGGTCAGTCACAAGCTCTGGCACAGGTGTCCTTGAAAAAGAGCAGTTTGTGTCAGAGTTCTCTCAGCCCCACCCACCTCACAGGGTGTCTGTTGTGGGGAGGGGAAGGGAAAGGAGTTTGTAAGCCACTCTGAGACTCCCAAGTCAAGGGTGGGGTATAAATCCAATCTCTTCTTTAATTACCTTTCTTCCCTGCAGTTGGGCTTCCTCTGTGTGTGTGTGGTTCTGTCTCCTGTGGCAGCTATTTTGTGGTTGTGCCCACCACTTTGTGTCAGAATCTGGTCACCACAGGCTCAAAGAGGTGGGGGACCCCCACGTTACAGCAGTCATTTGCCATTGGATTTTCCCATGTGGACTGAACAGTCCAGTTGCAAACAACTGCTGGAATGCAATGTTGGACAATGGGGAAGTGGCCCAACTATCCGTGACTGTCTATGTAGATAGCTACTGTCAGTCTGTGAGGGTATGCTTACCTAATGAGGCTAGAGAAACCCTGGAGGTTTGGTGTAGTATCTCTGCAATACTCATCCTTCCTGCTGTCCGTGAGCCTGCAATCCCCCCGTCATTTTAGATGGGGAGTAACCCTTTGTGTTACATATGCTGAACCATGTCCTAAGTGCCTATTCTCAAATGCCAGGTCAGCCCTATAACTTCAGAAATCGTGTTAAAGCCTTTGCCGAAATTGTGGAGGGAACTGCAACTTTTATCTACGCGGGGGGGGGGGGGGGGGGGCTAGGCAGATTTTATGCTGCTTCAAGCTTCCTTCTTGGAAGCACGAACCTCACACTTATGAATTAGCTGTCCCTAGGTCTTCCTGCCAACCTAGCAGTTCGAAAGCAAGAAATTGCAAGTAGATAAATAGGTACCACTTCGGGTGGGAAGGTAACAGCATTCCATGCGCCTTGGTGTTTAGTCATGCCAGCCACATGACCACGGAAACGTCTTCGGACAGCGCTGGCTCTTTGGCTTTGAAATGGAGAGAGCACCGCAACCCTAGAGTCGGACTCGACTGGCTTTCGAGCAAGGGAACCTTTACCTTTTACCTTTAGGTCTTCTCTAATGGTGGTAACTACGCTTCTCTGGCTTTCCTAGATCTCTGAAGGGGTAACTTAATGTCACAAACATGTACTGATATACTTGGTGCCTTGCTGCCAAATGTGGCCATAGCTTCCACTGAAAAGTATATTGTTCAAAGGGGTGCCAGATGATGGAAGAGTCTTAACACACGCAAGTCATCACTCAGGGCTTGTTGCTGGAGATCGAGGCCACATCCCTCTGAACACTGGAGGCTCAGTGCCATTGGCAAGGGGCCGTGTTCCTGTCTGTGTAGGATCATAGAGGCACTTGGCCCAGTTGTCATTAGAATTGGTGTACTAGTCAAAAGTTTTGGTCTTGCTCAGACTCAGATAGTCTAAAATAGCTATCAGTACTTCTTGAATATTTTTCCTTTGGAAAATGTTAGATTAATGCGGGTATGTTGTTGCCCTTTGGTGGCACGAATGTTGATAACCCCCAGGCAAAGTACTTTTGAAAGTCTCTTGAGAACTGCTCGCTTGTAGTCTGTACGCTTCCCTGTTATCTGAGGCGGTCTTTTGGTGAAATAGTGAATAGAAAAGGTAGCCAATATTTGTATAGAGGCCACAGGGAAAGGGCAGGATCTAAAATTTTAAAGAGTCGGCCCAGGAGAGCTGGATTCAAATCCCTGAAGCTTGCTGAGTAATATTGGACTGGTCATGCCCTCTGTCGAACCTACCTCATAGGCTTTGTTATGAGGGGGAAAAAATGGAGGACAGAAGAAGAAGAGATTGGATTTATACCCCGCCCTTCAGTACCCAGAGGAATCTCAGACCAGCTTACAAACTCCTTTCCCTTCACCTCCCCACAACAGACACCCTGTGAGGTAGGTGGGGCTGAGAGAGTTCTGACAGAAACTGCTTCCCCCCCCCCCCCCAAACAACCGAAGAACTATGGCTTGCTCAAGGTCACATCAGCAGGTGCAAGTGGAGGAGTGGGGAATCAAACCCGGTTCTCCCAGTTTAGAGTCCGCGCACGTAACCACTACACCAAACTGACCAGGTTAAAATGTACAAGATAGCCTGTATGCTAACCCCTGAAAGTCTCCCCCACACACACACACACAAATACCAAAGGATTAGGGTTCGACACAAATGTGTTTATTCAAACGGCTTGCAATAAGGTAATGCCAGTTTCTACAATGACAACAATCCAGGTGTGCATAATGGTGGAGAGCTCAAACCCATCTTTTTGCTGTCAGATTTTCAAAATGAGGTCAGAGCCCAGTCCTAGCCATGCTGCCTTCTCTCTACCACCATGGACAGAGCAAAGATGAGAACGTGCTGTTGAGTTGGAACGGACTCATGGCGACCTCGGCCATGGGTGGTTCAAGGCAAGAGACGAGCAGAGGCGGTTTGCCGTTGCCTTCCTCCATGCAGCAACCCGTCTTTTGTGGTCTCCCATCCAAACACTGACTCTGGCTGACCTTGTTCAGCTCCCAGGTCCTGGGCTGTTTGGGCTCCACAGAGCAAGGATAGTCTCTAGCAAGTTTTGCAGCACAGAAAGATGTCCATTCACAGGAATAGCCAACAGAGTTGCCCTTGAGTGGTTATTTAAGCAGGCCTTGGCCTAGCCCTCCCCTTAAGGTGGAACTGGGATGGGGGGCATTTGTAAGCACTGTCTAGCTCTGCATCACAACAGTTTTTAACCTCCCCTGCCACCTGTATAAAGTGCACAGCAGTTTGCTTCCATCATTGTTGGTGGCACTGCTGGACCAGAATTCGCTCCTCTGGAATCATTCAGCTGGAAACGTTGCGGGGGATAGGAAAGCAGTAGTAACAGACTTCAGTAAAAGAGGAGACTCCCTCTTAGCTTTAGGCAGCAAGTAGTACTAGACTTATTTGTACCTTTTCTGTAATACTGAAAACACACAAACGCACACTCTCCCCCCCCCCCATCCATGGCATCCATCTTGACAGACGAGGCCACTGAGTTTGCTTTAACTTGCACCTTTATGAGCTGAACAGCAGACTGTTCCGAAGCCCAGCTGTTTGTGCAGGAGCTGCTACTTCTGCATACCCTCCCATCCTTCGGATCTTATTCACAGATGCTGTAGTAGATGCCAACTGCCTCCCTTTATGGCTTCTCTCTCTAAATAAATGTTGGCTGGTCACTCTTGGAACTGCCACTAGGGTGCAGCAGCACAGAAAGCTTTGGTTTTCTCCAGCGGCACTGAACAAATGTTGCCGTCTTCCCCAGACATAAATTGGCTTCTGGCAAAACAGCAGCAAGGCTTCTTGACTACAGCACTTTATAAGGGATGAGGTGGTGGTGGTGGTGGTGGTTGGTATTGATGACAGATAATGAAAGAGGCCAGCTTCCTGCAACAAGAAGCCTTGTATTCCCCCCCCCCTTCTGTGGCTCAGCTCTTGAGAAGACAAAGCTGCTGTGTTTTTCCTCCTCCTGCTGTTAACTTTGCCCTGGATGGCAACACGTGGCTTCTGCTTTCAGGCTGCAGAGGTAACACACGGCAACAGTGCTGGGCCTTTGCTTTCTCGAACTGCCCTGCAAGCCCGTCCATGATTCTGCCCCAGAAGCCTTGAAACGGCCGCTCGTCACCGACAAGGGCGAGAAAGCATAATGCTCCGCTTCAAAAAGGGCTGCGTGTTGCGTCATCCACTGGTTTCGATAAGATACCACAGCCTCCTCGAATGAATGACCGCCAGCCTTTCTGTCCAGGGAAAGAAACTGGTGGAACTCCACAAGGCGTTACTCCCCTACGCCACCCCAGGGCCTTTCAAGGGAGGGGAGGAATGTCAAGAGAATGGCATAGCCCTACAAAGTCCTTTCGTAGGTTACCAACGTAGAGCACAGGGTAGAAGAACCTAGGTTGCAAGTTAACTGTATTTCTGTTCTTGGATCAATAGTGGTGTGAGCTTCTGCAGTCCTTCCTGGGGCTCTGAAACTGAACAATTTCTTATGTCAAATGACTCAGCCGTCACCCAAGAAGGCTAGGGCATCTACTGCAAACCCCCACCCCCACAGAACTAGCCCTATTATTTAAAAAAATCCCTTCACGTTACACCAAATGAGCACAGTACTAGGAACCTGAACAGGGCACTGCACATGTGCTCTGCAAGCATATCGCTGATTCTAAGCCTATTTCCTTAGCGAAGGAATCATGGGAACTGTAGTTCCCTAGATTCTCAATACCCCCAAGACAACATTTCCACTTATCCTTTCGGCACAAGCCATGATGGAGAGCTAAACCACTCTGAAGCCAATTTAAGAAGGACAGTGAGGAGAGAGGGTGACTTGACTCACCTTCTAGGTGGGGGAGGGTCCTGTTCCCTGAACAGGTCTACACAGGCCTCTGCTGTCCTCTCTGAAAAGCAGGAACGCAGGCTTATGAGACTTTTAGAAAGATCAGAAAGACTAATTTCAATTTAGAGCTCTTGAACAAAAGCAACACAACCCAGCGGCCGTGATTTACCTGTAACCAGGTGCGTTTGGCTAACACCTAATCCTTCAGTGAGAGTTGCACCATGCAGCAACATCTGTATTTTATCATTCTTACACAAGTCTACCACAGCCGAGAAAGAGCGTGAAGGGCAGGCGTATTCCGTGAAAGGCAGTCTGTGGCAAAAACATCATTTTCTCTTAATATATCGAGATCAAGCAATTTACCTTGGTAGGATGAGAACCTCAGTAAAGAAGCTCTAGGGCAAGTCACGTCTTTAAAAAAAAAAAATGTACACACACAACCCCCCAAAAATGCGTATTTTAAAAACACAAAAGTGATTGTAACTATGAGCAGCAACCAAATGAGTGACTTGGCAAACAGATGACTCTGGCTCATTCTGAGTTGCTAGCAACTAATGACTTTTTTTTTTTGCCATCTGCTAAAAGCTTCATGTCAAGGACGCAACCGTTGCTGTTTCATCCAATCAGCCGTTTTGGTGCAGCGGCAAAGTCCCACCCCCTCTCTCTCACAGGGCTGCTTTGTTCCTGAGTGAAGGGAGATGGGCTTTCTTGAAGAACTTGACCAGTAGCTAAAATTGGAGGAAGGAGCGTGTGAAGAGACGTTGATAATGATGAGGGAAAGGAAGAGGATGTTCTATAAAAAGGCACTGGGATTCGCTCTGGGATCCTTCTGGTTCCTGTAGCGCATGGCAAGCCACACTCCAAGAATCTGGGAGAGGGGAAAAGGAGAAGTTGAAGGAGTTTCACTTATAGGACTTCCTTCAAAAGGAAATACCGAAGTTAACATTTTTCAGTGTATGGGGATAGCAATATTCACATTCATGTCACCGTCAAAAGTGTTTTCCTGCAACGGGAGGAAGGTGAACTCTACGGAGATCATTTGTACATATTTCAAGGAGGGGGAAAAGGTTAGAACAGGTTTACCTGGCCTTAAAACTGCCTTTTTAGAAGTACCACTACTCCTGGGATACACACATATTCAATAGGTACAGCCTTCACTGTCTTGTATCTTGCCAGCAATGGCTGCACCTGTTGAAATTCTGCATTATGGCCACAAAGGAGCATAGCACAAAGACCTTCAGAGGTCTTATGTGATGGTTAGCTCATGCTGCGGGGGGCGGGGGGTGTCTCCCCTTCAGGGGTCATTTCGTAGAAAAAGAGCTAGGGGGACTCATTAGCATAACTCATTAGCATATGCCACACCCCCTGACATCAGGGGCCCGGCGGTGGACCTGCAAGGCCGGCGGGAGTGTTAGGAAGCCCCGCGGAGGCCCTCCCTGGCCCCAGGCAGGCAGGGGTGGGGAGAGGCGGGGAGGAAGCAACTTACCCTCTCTCTTCTGCCTCCTCCTGGCTGAATGAGGGCCGGAAGCGGGGCGGCTGGAAGCAGGGGGCGGGGCTTCGTCATGTGCCCTGCCCCCCTGTACCTCACCCGGGGGGACTGCGGCCCCCCGCGTCCCCCCCCCAAATGACCTCTGCTCCCCTTTGATTCTATGAGAATCTACCCTTCAGAATTAAATCGAATGGGACAAGTGCCCTTATTGATGGAATCTGGCATTTTCGTAGAAATAGTGTTTGAACAGTGTTTCTACCAGAAGATTCATGCAATTATTCTGGGTACCCCAGGGAAACCCAACAGCTGAAGTGATGTTAAGAAAACTTTAGCCATGCAGTACTGGGTGTATAATCCAGCCACCTGAGGAATCTTTGGTTGGGGAGGGGGGGGGTGTTTAACTGCAAAGGTATGCCTGAAAGCCTGCTGGAAGTCTCCATGAGGTGGCTGAATAACAGCCCAGTTTACTGGGGGAGAGCGGTTGAAAAGCTGAAATAAATAAATGAAATTTCAGTGCCCAGATGTGAAGCTTCACTGGCCTACTAGGACTTCCTCATGATGACTAGCAAAACTAGAATAAATTATTCAACAGCATGAAAAACAAGGCGTAGTACACCATGTACTTTATACAGGTGCAAAATTCAGCTCTCCTTGGCATAGAACTTGGGCTAGTCATATTTTTTATTTTATAGCAGAGCACGCACACAGCCAGCCATCCCACCCAAGAGCCAGATTCTCGGATTCCCCAGCTTGTTGCAAGGCCATAGAACACTTAGAGGCGGGCATTTTTCCCCCCTCAGCATGGACCATCTACTGAAGTCGAACCATTGCAGGAAAGCAGGTGCAGTACGGAAGAAAAATTGGGCATGTAAATTATCAGGGGAACTGCACATGTCACTGATACAGCGATGGAAGTGAAATGCTGAGGTTTCTCCACCAGAGAAGCAATTTCTCTTTCTCCCAGCCCAGGAGAAACCCTAGTTTTTCCCGAGCTCCGTGGTACAGTGTGAGAACAAAGCAGCCGTATAGCACAATTCTGCTAGCCGCTCTCTTGAGTATTGATGCATATTATTAGTGTGGCTCACATCAATATCACAGTCAAAGCTGGTTTCTGCACAGAGAGCAGGTGCTATCTATGAAGTTCGTAATATCCCCTTGAATAGATTTCAAGAGGAATAAAAGGTACAACCGCTGTTAGCTCTTACTCTTTTTTTTTAAGCAGTTTTTTTTTCCTCCCGGCCTGTGGTGTTGAGGGGGGGAAAGAGGAAACACCCACCCTGACCCCACCCACCCTCTTGTCTGTTCAGCCTGGTAGGCAGAGTTACCTCTGTGAAACTGAAAAACAGCCCAACTCCGCCAAGGATTTTTAAGGCCTCGTCCGCATGCTCCATCATCTTCACGCCACACGTGATGCATGGAGAAGATGATTCCCAACATTCCTGCAGGGGATGACAAATGCACCACATCACTTACAGGAAGAGATCACGGACCTCACGCACTTGTAGCCAATAGCAGTGGCCTCAAAAGTCTGGGATTAATACCTCATTATCCAAAAATACAACTGTCCTGTAACTGGGAAGACTGGCAGCCCTTGAACGCAGGCAGTCTCTGGAATTGCTTGCCACTTGTAACTGTTTTCTGTGGCATTCATTTTATTCATTTCCAGATTTCTTTTCTCTCTAATGGGGACCCAAAGCAGTTAAATCGTTCCCTTCCATTTTATCCTCAAAACAACCCTATGAGGTAGGCAGGGGTCATTTCGTGGAAAAAGAGCTAGGGGAAGTCATTAGCATAACTCATTAGCATATGCCACACCCCCTGACATCACCGGAAGTGTGTCATAGGCCATGAGGGGCCCGGCGGTAGACCTGCAAGGCCGGCAGGAGTGCAAGGAAGCCCCGCGAAGGCCCTCCCTGGCCCCAGGCAGGCAGGGGTGGGGAGAGGCATGGAGGAAGCAACTTACCCTCCCTCTTCTCCTGCCTCCTCCTGGCTGAATGAGGGCCGGAAGCGGGGCGGCTGGAAGCGGGGGCGGGGCTTCGTCATGTGCCCCGCCCCCTGTACCTCACCCGGGGGACCTGCGATCCCCCGCGATCCCCCCCGAAATGACCTCTGGAGGTAGGTTAGGTTTCCATGGCAGCGGAGGGTATAATTATCTAAAGTAGGACTGGCAGAAAACAAAGGAAAAGAGGAGCAAAACCGAAAAGGAGTGAAGTCAAGAGATGCCTACAGAAACAGGAGACTGAACAAGCAAGAGAAGAAGATCAGGCAGAAACAAATCTGAGAGACAAAAAAAGCAGGAAGCAGCAAAATTACACAGCAGAAAAGTCAGGAAAGCGAGTTTAAACTGAGCACGGCAATAAGTAGGGAGCCGGCGAAGGCGACGTGCAGAGAAGAGAAACGCTGGTGGCAGCTTCAACAGAGCACATGCATACAGGGAAAGATTGAGGGAGGTTATTTAATCAGTTATAACACTCTAATGAGACAAGCTTAGTATCTGGAGTAGGATCTGCGTAAGGGGGGAGGGGGAGACAGCTCTTCTGAACAAGAAAAGCCATAATTGCACCATGACTGATACTTTAGAACAGCAAACTGTGTTCTGGGGAACCCTGGGGCTCCCTGGATGCTTAATGAGAGAAGTCGGTAATGGCAGATAAAGCTTCCTTGAAAAGGACTGCCTGCACATCATACCAATCTTCCCCTGAAATGCACAACCACAGAGGTGTGTTCCAGAGCACATTCCCATGGAAGACAGTGAAGAAGAAGAAGAAGCCTGGCCAGCATCCTAAAAGAACTCGGTGACCATGGAGGCCTAGGAATCCCAGCTGGGCCTAATCAGTGTTCCAGGTGAGGATGGTGCACCTCACTGGCTTTAACCCCCAGGTTAAATACAACAAATGTAATAACACAGAGACTGGAAAAGGGAGACTGTCAGCCATTTCCCCCCCCTTGCCCGTATTGCAGCTTCTCTTTTCGCACACCACGGTAGTTCAAGTTGCCCAGGCGCAAGGTATTTTCAGTGGAGGCACCTTACCTTTGGAATGCTCTCTTCCTTGAGGCTGACCTGGCACGCAGCAATCCATACAATCTTTTAGGTCCCACGCCCAAACCAACCAAGAACATTTTTAAACCCTGAGGCTTTTAACTGAAGAGGCTATTTTATGGTGAGCTTCTCATCTGTTTTGTGGATATTTTTAGGGTGGCCCATATGAAGCTGCCATTTAATTAATCAGGCCATCAGTCCATCAAGGTTAGTAAGGTCTACTCAGACTGGCAGCAGCTCTCCAGGGTCTCAGGGTAGAGGCCTTCCATAATCACCTATTACCCAGTCCTTTTATTTTAACTAGAGATGCTGGGGGACTGAACCTGGGACCTTCTGCGTGCCAAGTGGATGTTCTACCACTGAGCCACCCCGACCCTCCAGTGCTCAATGGTGTTTTTTAAAGGCTTGTTGATGTTTTTAGTTACTTTATGGTATGTTTTTTGTTTGTAAGCCACCTCAAAGCAGGAGGAGGAGGAGGAGGAGGAGGAGGAGGAGGAGGAAGAATTATTATCATCATCATCATCTTCATTTACACCTTGTATTTCTCACTGGGACTCAAGGCAGATTACAACAAAAGAAAAGCAATTCAATCAGACAGCAAAGACCTCCAACAAACTGTGTGGTAGTAGGACTAGGATTTCAGAACTGGAAAACTGGGCAAACAAGAAACCATTTGAAGCCTCACATACCATAATAAAGGAAGCGGGTTCCAAAGGTAGAAGACATTGCCATAAACACAAAAAAAGGGTGTGATACATACAATAAGCTTTGCAATGGAATCCAGTAACATCCTTCACAGAAGGGACCTCCTGAGCTGTTCCATTATACTGTCCCTTTTGTAAAAATCCCCCCCCCCAACATGAAGCAGCAGCAAATAAATTCCATAAACAAAGCAAATAAACATTTCCTATAAGGGAAAGATCCATGCCTTCCCAACCATGTAGGTTAATTTGGAAGCAACTACAGTGTACCTTTCAGAAGCTTTCCCACCAGTTTCCACTGAAGCACTAGGTACTGCCCACTTTTAGATAATACGGTCCCCTTTGTTTGCTTCAGATAGACTCTATCTGAATAGAGCAGCAGGTCAAGTATTGTATCTTACTGGTATCCAACACTGGATACTTCAGAGGAAGGATAGAAAACAGTACAGGGCACTGGGAATATTCCAACCCTTGTAAAACCCTTCCTGCTATGAGCCAGAGGGTATTGGCCTTGATGTCACAATCCTATGACCACTTTCCTAAGAGTAAAACCACACTGGGGGAAAAGTAGGACATCTGAGTAGATGCACTCCCCAGACTAGCTAATGTCTTAGCTGATTAGCCTGTTGTTTCCTGTTAGTAGAGTCACCCACCAGCCTCTGAGAAAGGATTCAGAAAAGGCCTTGCTCGCCACTATTAGCTGAAACGTCCTCCGGGTAGGACACAATCCCTCCGTCTCAGGCAAGAGCTGTAGAGAGATTGTTTAGCTCAGGGATCTCCAATGTGGTGCCTGTGGGCACCATGGTGCCCACCAACACCTGTTCCGAGCGCCCGCTAAGTGTTTTTTTTTAAGAGGGCGGGGTCAGGTGGGGATTTTCCCCAGCAAGGCTTTTCATTTGCCCAGCAAGGCTTCTGATTGGCTGTGCAGACTTTTAAAAATGCTGCTTTGGCAGTAGCTGCTACCACAACCCAAGGATCTTTGCTGTGTGACTGAAGGTAATCTGTGGTAGCCATTTTGTGGCTGGCTTCACCTCCTATGGCAGCCATTTTGTGATTGTACCCACTATGCTGTCTCAGAATACCACAGGTGTCTGCAGGCTCAAAAAGGTTGGCGACCCCTGATGTAGCTGGTTGTCTGCACCTTGGATGAGCCAGGATTGTGCGCACTAATATACCTACCGCACTGCAGTGTTCAGTGCTGCCCCTGTCTTTTGGGGTAGTTTTGTTGAAGAACCCGCAGCAGTTCAGACGTTTTTCCCACGTGCTCCTGGTTTCGTTGTCCAGCATTCCCCAGGCACCGCTCAAGAGACTTTCCTGAGGGAAAAAGAAAGAGAGCTTTGAAAGTCAGTGTTCAGTGCTGCAGAGGTCAGCACTGCCCTTGTCTTTTGGGGTAGTTTTGTTGAAGAACCCGCAGAAAGTGTGAGTCAAGAAACAAGCCTCCGAAACCAGGTTGCAGACATATTTTATTTGCCCTTTATTGGATTTTATGATGCTGGTTTTAATTCTTTTGATTATGCGTTAAATGAATTTTAGCTGTCTGACACTAGCTTTCCAGTATTAGGTTTTAGATAGGGAAACTGTTTGGAATGAAGGGTATAAAAACAGAATACATAAAATAGCCAAGAAAGTCACATTTTCTCCCTGTCTCTCATTCTTACCTCACTGTAAAGCCATATTGTGTCGGAAGGCAATTCAGACCTGATAAAAGCATTCCAACTATTAATGACTCAAGTGTACTCAAAAACTGAAGTGATGCAACTGGGAAGGTGGAGGGGAAATCCGACCTGCCCTTTCTTATTCCTGAGCAATCCCAGCAAAGGCAGTGCCAGAGATGAAGCAGAGGAGGGCAGGTATGCAATTGAACTGGAGGACAAGTTGAGACCAGGTGTGCAGAAAAGATTAACCGTTTGGCCAAACATCTTTCCTCACTGTGTGGTTTAAGACAACAGAGGAAATTCAACCTATATCCTAGTTCTTTTCAATAGTTTCAAACAGCTCGTTTCAATAGTTTCCTTCCTCAGAGAACCAATGAATCCCCATCTCCCTAACGTCAGCCATTAGAATCACAGGGCCTCTGCAAGGCAGCAGTCCTATACATACTGGACTGGGACTAAACCCAACTTGATGCAGTGGGATCGACGTCCAAACAAAACATTTATTTATTTGAAATACCCGCAACCTGATTCTGAATAATAAGATTGTGTGGCTTCCTAACTAGGGTTATCAACCTCTCTGTGGGGCTTGGGGTTCTCCTGGGATTACCAGTCTTCTCCAGACTACAGAGATCAGTTCCCCTGGAGGAACTGGCAGTTTAGGAGGATAAACTCTATGATAACCATAGAGTCTAGGAGAAACCAAAGTCCTAGAGTGACATAGCATTCTTGCTGTGCTTGCTTTCTTCCACCCCAACTCCACCCTCCCCAGGCTCCACCCTCAAATATCCAGGAATTTCCCAAGCTGTTCCCAACCCTGTTCCCAAAACTCCCAGGTAAGCTTTTGCAGTGCATAGGGTACCCCAGCAGAAAAACCCCTGAGTCCAACAGAGATACAAAAGTTGCTGGGGAAGGTAAATGTTTCAACAGGGCCCAGTTTTCGTGCATCTTACAGCATTCTCCCTCTTACTGTCTAAACTGCCCTTTCAGAAGCACCAAAACTCCAGCAACTAAGAGGGCCACTTGAACACCCTACAGTTTCCCTCCCAAGCTGAACAAAACTATGGCAGGCAAACACTCTTACCTGTTTGCTTTTGCTGAGGGCCAGACACGAACAGGAGACTCCAAACTGGAAAAGAAAGACTAGCCCTAGAATGATCATGTACTGAAGTGATGTTGCCATTAAGGAAATACTTGGGAAAGTATGAGAGAGAAATTCCAAAGACAAGCCAGCCAAATTAAAGAGAAAACCCTTCATTTTCCTCCAGTTATTGGTTAAAATACATTGTTGTACTAAAGCGATGAAAGAAAATTCCGTCTTCCCTTCCAGTGCACCGCTGAAGTAGCTTTAAAAAAAACAACAAAAACTTAGCTTCAAATTTACTGTTGGATCCTGTGCTGCCTTCTCTTGGGTAACAAAAGATCTTTCATGGACATCCCCAGATCATCCATCAAGGCTGGGGTTTTGTTTTTTTTAAATACAAGCTCAAAATTAATTTTCAGAAGACTTTAGATTTCCAGATTTTTGTATTCTTTTGTGTTGCTTTGCAATCCAGTCATCACAAAGGCAATGGTTGGTATCCTACAGCCCCTTCCAGTGGTTTCCACCCTTTCCCTTTTCCCAGCAGTTTCCCTATTAAGGCTTTAACTGGGGGAAAGGGGACCATGCATGCAAAAGGCCATGCAGGGCAGAGGGGCTGCAGAGAGGAGGGGAAGCACAAGTGACGGATCCTCCTCCCTCTTCCATCAGCAGAGCAGTGTTAAGAGACAACTCAGCGTCTAGGTTTAGTCCTACATTAGCAGGAAGGGGAGATTTTCCAGCACATATGCCTTCCAAAACCCTCTCTTCCACAAAGTGTTCAAAAACTAACCATCTTGCATTGAATCAGGTTATGCTCTATAATTCCCTGTGCATCTATGGAACCTCCCCTAATGGGTGGGAACAGAGACTGGCCATCTGGCACATCCCTCTGTTTAGACACTCACTTCCCTACTACACCAGACAGGATGCTGGGACTAGCCCTGTACTAGGGAATGCTTATTCCAGCTCAAACATCCAGATGCTTTATTTGCACTGAGATGAACACCACCACACGAAGGCAGTCATCGGCTGCAGTCGCACACACTAAATAGTCCAGTTCACACAAGTGCCAGTTCACACATTAAAATCCAGCTGGAAAGTGCACTGAAAGTGGATTGAAAGTGGATTATTTATTGTGTGTGATTGCAGCAAAGACTCTACTTTGTGAGCTACTGGCATTAAGGTTGTGAGCAAGCGATTTGGCTACTGCATAAATCAGTATGCTCTGGAGCCATCCTTCCTGAGCTAAGATAAAAATTTGTGAGACGGAGGCTAGAAAACTGAGAGCTAGCTCACGCGAACTCAGCTTAGAGGGAACGCTGCACGTGATGCATGCACATCCATCTACTTCACTGTGTGCGAGAGAGAAAGAGAGATCCACATCCAACTGATCATGGGTTCGTGAAAGAAGAAAAAGAGTGAAAGATTCTTGCGCCTATATTAAATGACTATGCAAGCATGATACATACTAAGGATAGGAAATTCAGTATGTTTTTGTGTGTGGCTATCTGGCAAGAGGGATGGAAGATTTATCCCCCCTTCTTAATGGAAATTGCAAACTACAATTTCCAAGCTCAGAGATTTGGGGTGCTTCAGTCAGAAGGAGTCCCCCAGGGATCTACATGGTGGAAAGCATGGTCTAGGAGAACCACTGAACACGTAAGACACACTATCAGGCATCTTAGATCACAGTGAGAAACCTTTACCACATTTCCTGCAGCCTTACAGTAACCTCCAGAAGAACTTAGGTTAGCGTTTCCTCATTTCCAGTCAACTGAGCAGACAAAAAGAATTAGCTGACACTCCACAAGACATAATGCTGCTTATGAGTTTTGTAAGAAGAGCACAGTCTTCCTGAGCGGGGGTGGGGGCTGTAGGACAGAACCCACAGCACTGTAGGACAGAACCCACAGTAACTGGATGACATCACTTGGGCCATGGTCCCAGAATAACACCCACTTTGCCATAACGTTCCAAGAGGCCTCTCAGATTTTGTGGCCTTGAGAAGACTGCCAACAGTGCCCCAGCATGATTACCCCAAGAACTTGAAAGGTTCTGAGGTTTCTCTTTAAAGTCATCTCCCCTTCCCCAGCCAATCGGTAAACATACCAATCAAATCCTGTTTCAGGATAATACAGTTGTTTGTTGTTGTTGATCAGTCGCACAGTCAAGTCCGACTCTTCGCGACCCCATGGACCAGATCACGCCAGGCCTTCCGGTCTTCCGCCGTCCTCTGAAGTTGGCTCAACTTCATGTTCGTTGCATCTATGACACTGTCTAACCATCTCATCCTTTGCCGTCCCCGTTGTCTTTGACCTTCAATCTTTCCCAGCATCAGGGTCTTCTCCAGTGAGTGCTCCCTTCTCATTTGGTGGCCAAAGTATTTGAGCTTCAGTTTCATTATCTGGCCTTCCAGGGAACAGTCAGGGTTGATTTCTTTTAGGATTGACTGATTTGATCTTCTTGCAGTCCAAGGGACTCTCAAGAGTCTTCTCCAGCACCATAGTTCAAAAGAATCTATTCTTCGGCGCTCGGCCTTCCTTATCGTCCAACTCTCGCAGCCATACATGACTACTGGGAATACCATTGCTTTGACCATGTGGACTTTTGTTGACCGGAGTAGAAAACTTCAAGGGGAGCAGCTAACAGGATCAACCTTCCCTTAGGCCCTTTTCCTTTAAAGAATCTGCAACTACACTTGGCAACTAGCTCCCTGATTTTAAATTTCCCTTACACACACACACACACACACCATGCTGCTGTATCTTCATCGTATCCTGTAGAGCACAGCCATCTCTATCCTACAATTGTCATGACAGCCAGAATTTTTTTGAAAAGTGGGAACATCATTCCACATATTAGAAGAAGAAGAGGAAGAGAACAGATTGGATTTATACCCCGCCCTTCACTTGGAGTCTCAGAGCGGCTTACAAACTCCTCTCCCGTCCCCTCCCCACAACAGACACCCTGTGAGGTGGGTGGGGCTGAGAGAACTCTGACACAAACTGCTCTTTTTCAAGGACAGCTGTGCCAGAGCTTGCGACTGACCCAAGGTCACATCAGCAGCTGCAAGTGGAGGAGTGGGGAATCAAACCCGGTTCTCCCAGATTAGAGTCCGCACACTTAACCACTACACCAAACTGGCTCTCACTACACCAAACTGGCTAGGAATTTGTTACAGCAATCCCCCAAAAGCTGGGCTACCGCAGGGATCCATGATGAGATAGCTTGTGATCTTGGAGTCAGACGTCTGCCTCAAAGATCATATTAGACATCACATCTTCCTCCTCCACTGTTCTCAGTCATTTTGGGGGATTCAAACGAGGCAAGGAAAATATAGGTCGGCTCCTACTAGCTTCTCCGCTGGCAAAAGGAGGGAGGAGCAACCCCCCCTTCTTCTGATCACCAAAAGGGCAGTGCTGGAGATCGTGGCGCCCGAGGGAACAGAAACCACATGGGACAGTGGCAGTAGAGAGGAGAGGTGCTTGGGTGAGATCAAGCCGGAAAGTTAATAGGATCCATCCCGGTATGTGGCATGAATTTACTTTTGCCTAATGCATAAGGGGAAAACATTATTAGAGCTGTCTAAATCCAAAGGGAAAACACAACAGTTGTCTATGAAAGAGAAATTTTACATCTGCTCCCCAGCCTCTCTCCATACAAAACATGGGAACCTCCCCCCTTCTTTCCTGGATAGGCCAATATTTTTAGACTCAGTTCCCACCTCGTCTCAACAAAAGAAGACACAACATCCTGTTCCAGCAGTCCCAAAGGAAAATGAGGAAACAAAGCCTCACAAACCTTGTCAAGCAAACATGTGTGCGTCTCTCGCTCTCCCACACTGTAGGCTACAAATGAGTTACCAGAATAAACCTATAAGTAGGACAAACCTTTGCAACTGCAAAATGGATGCTACATCACGATTCAGTAGGACACGTCTGGGGCCCAGCAAGGTCATGCAGCACGGGTTCTGGCATGGCCCATCTCGGGAGGGATGCAAGAGAGCCCTGCCCTTGGTTGGCCAACAGCAGCAGAGAAGGATACAAAGAAGAGCATGACTTGGTGATGATTGACAGCGCCGATGAGCCCCACGATGGCGATGAGAAGCAGGAAGAACCCCACGGCCAGGACCCCTCCAATGATGTGGATGCTGGAGACAATGCCGAAGCCTTTCCCCCAGGCAGCCACGCCAATCAGCAGCAGCCCGACCAGCTGGAAAGCAAGGAGGATTGGGGGTGGAGAATGGAAGAGTCAGAGGCAAAGGTGTGGGGGAAAGAAGCCTGCAATTCAAGCACTTCCCCTCCCCACTATGTTAACAGGCATCTCCAATCCCTGTACGATGAGGAGCCGACTTTTCTCGTTCACTTGAGTGACAGGAGCCCACGAATACAGCTCAATCCATAAACGGTCATAAAAGACTTAATCCTTTTCAAGGCAACACCACTGGAACGCTGTTTAAAATTACAGCCCTCTTGCCCCTCAGACTGGCAGATCAGGCTTCCCTTCATTTATGGCTTGATAGCATAGGGGGGGTCATCTTGTGCTACAGGCAAACATACAAAATTCCCCCCCTCCCTATAAGTATCAACAAAACAGCTGCATCAGTTAGATGTAGAAAAAACCCTCTGCGTTTAACACGTGTCTAACAAAAGGAAAGCAAATGCCATGTTTGTTGAGGGAGGTATTTAGGGTTGCCAGATCCAGGTTGGGGAACTCCTGGAGATTTGGGGATGGAGCCTGGAGAGGACAGGGACCTCAGTGGGGCACAATGCCACAGAGTCCACCTTCCAAAGCAGCCATTTTATCCAGGGGAACTGGTCCCTGTAGTCTGGAGATGGGCTATAATTCCAGGGGATCCCCAGGTGCCACCTGCAGCTTGGCATCCCTAGAGATATCCTACCACCAGTGTTCCCTCTAAGCTGAGTTAGAGTGAGCCAGCTCACACTTTTGTAGCCTCCGGCTCACACATTTTTTGTCTCCGCTCAGGAAGGAGGGCTCCAGAGCAAACTGATTTATGCAGCGGCCAAATCGCTCGCTCACAGCTTTAATGCCAGTGGCTCACAAAGTAGAATTTTTGCTCACGAGACTCCACGGCTTAGAGGGAGCATTGCCTACCCCCCAAGTTACTTTTATAAACTTTGCAAGACTCTCCTATGATTTAGGGGGGGAAAAAACCTTTTCTCAGTGCCATCAGAATTTATAAACTACTAGTTGTGGGTGTTTTTACTATTTGAAAAACGAATCATTCATGCCTTTGCGGAAGCAAGCCTCTACACAGGTTTCAGCACACTTTTCCTGGTCTAATCCCAAGGTATACACCTTAAACAAGGCGACATTTACATTAGCATTTCCTGTTTCCGATTGGATATCCGAGTTCATATTTAGAATACACAGAGCCTTGCGGTTTAAGATACGAACACTCTGATTTTCGAAGATCAGGAAAGGACATCCAAGTCTCCAATTCCAACTGTGGCATTTCCACCTTCTGGTTTGGAGTGTCTCCTTACATACTGGAAAGGTTACCAAGGTTCAGAAGCATGAGCCAACCACAGCAGAACACGGAAGTTCTTTTTTAAGGTGACAAAAGCAAAACTCCCATGAGTTTGCCCCTTTGCTACTACCCTGCTGTGCTTTCAGCCTGCAGTGGAAGTCATACATCCACTTCTTTAAAAGCAATGATAGCTTGTGGTTCGGCCAGTGGCATGCCTGTATTTCATGTGGACAAATGCAAGAGAAAAATCAAAAAAATGCGCAGGGATGTTATTTGTAAAAAATTATTGTGGTTCTGCCTTTCTTCTAAGGTTCCAGGAGGTGCTTACAAAATGCTGGGTCAAGACACTAAGACATCCCTTGTAAAGCAAACAGTTTCAATTAGAGCTACCAGAACCAACCGTGTTATTGAATTTTGACACCAGACTACGGTTGGGATTCCACAGAAAATCTCTGCTTCATAGAACAGGTTTCCGTCAGCGAAAAGGGACTTCCTGCCCTCTTCTGCTGCAGCCCAAAATGTTGCCCCTGGGGAACCAGAGGGGGGTGTCAGGAGGTCTAGACAATGGAGGGGGGGAGTCAGTGAAAATCCTCCTCTCCCCCACTAGAAATTTTCTGCAGGGTCTACGGTTGCCAATCCCCAGTTGGGGGCAGGGGATCCCCTGGTTTGGAGGCCCTCCCCCCGCTTCAGGGTTATCAGAAAGTGGAGGGGGGGATATCTTCAGGGCACTCCATTATACCCGGTCCCCATAGAGTACAATGGAGTATCGATCCACGGGTATCTGGGCTCTGGGGGGCTTTTAGAGGCAGAGGCACCGAATTTTCAGCATAACATCTGGTGCCTCTCTTCAAAAACCCCCAAAGTCTCAAAAATATTGGATTAAGGGATCCAGTTCTATGAGCCCCGAAAGAAGGTGCCCCCATTCTCCATTATTTCCAATCAAGGGAAGCCATTTAAAAGGAATGTGGTCCTTTCAATCATGCTTCTTCCCTGTCCTCTCCCAGAGGCTCCTGGAAAGTCTCACGCTGGCTTGTCAGCCTCACCTGGTAACCCTAAATGGTACCAGTGTGCGTGGCTTGGATGGAGAATGAGTTGAGAGCAGCCACCGTGTTAGAAATACAAGCTCCTACCATGGAATCACAAGAACCTTCTGGGTGTGTGTGTGTGGGGGGGTAGACCTGGAAGTGATGTCTCATCCTTGGTCCTGGTTCCACCCCCAAAGTCCCCAGATATTTCCTGAGTCAGGCCTGGCAACCCTAGCAGGGTGTAACTAAGCCCAAGCAACACTTGCCAATTCTAAGACTGTCCTATGGAAAAACTTATTTATTTATACTTATATTTATACCCCGCCCACCCTGTAAACAGGCTCTTGGCGGCTTACAAAGGACGGCAAAATATGCCGATTTCAAATAACCCATAAAACATTAAAATAGCATAAAACGTACTTAATATATCAACAATAAACATTAAAATGCTCACAATATTATATTATTAAAGTGCATTTTCATTCCGGTCATCTTCTGATCTTCAGGCCAGTCCTATGGGCCAGATGTTAAATGGCACCGTCGGTAGTGGGCCAGTCCAGTATTCCCAATGTACACATGGGATCGTTGGTGGTACCTTCATCCTGCACACTCTTCTCACACTTAAATGAAGTCTCCTCTAGCCCACTCTACGTATCATTCCACACAGCTGGGTGAACTCAACAGATAGCCCAGAGCTGATACTCAGATTTACATAGCTAAAACCAGAATCCTGAAAATCTGAGATTTTGGCGAAAATTTTTATTTATACCCCACCATCTTTCTCCCCAGTAGAGGCCCAAAGCAGCTTACATCATGCTCCTCTCCTCCATTTTATCCTCACAGTAACCCTGCTTAAGTATGGTTCTTGCCCTCATGGTTGTATTGTGAAATCCAAACAGTTTGATAGAGTCTCATGTTGCAAGTACCCTTTACACAGTGAACACTGGGTTCCCAGAACTGTTTGCCATGTATTAGCAACGCAGGTCCCAGGAAAATCTGTTCAAAATAGGCTGGTAAGGCAGGGGGAATTGCATTTCCCACCCACTCACATGTTATCCTACCTTAGGCTGGAAGTTCCTACAGCTTCAGTGGAGGAAGAGCCAATGAAGCTGGAGGAAGCTTTCAATCTTTGCTCAGTGGAGTAGTAGGTAGGATGCATGCCACTGATTCTCCCTCTTGGCTTCCTCTCGTCCAATTCTGACACCGGGGGCAAAGGCTGAAGGAAATTTGTGGCATAGAAACAGTAGATAGTGAGGTTGCCATTTGCAGCTTGGGAAATTCCTGGAGATTTCAGGGTGGAGTCTGGGGAATGACCTCCGCAGGGTATAAAGCCACAGAATCCACCCTCCAAAGTAGCCATTTTCTCCTGGGGAACTGACCTCTGTCATCAGCAGATCAGATGTAATTCCAGGAGATCTCCAAGCTCCACTTGGACACTGGCCACGCTAGTTGATCGGAAACAGCAATTAATCCCCCCCTTCCCACCCCACTGCAGTACAATTAACTGCCAAATGCGACCTTGCTACTTTGTTCTCCCCTCAATGTTTAGGCACCAGAGGATGTCTGGCAGTCACACAATGAATGCCACTTGTCAAAAGCTTTGCATCTTCACCCCTCTCTAGCTGTCATCCACATTCCAATAGTCCTCTTTAGCCCATGCAACAAAAGAATATCCAGCCAAAAACAGTTCTTTACAAAACTGCTTTTTTGCCTTCTAAAGATTTCAAGATAAGAAGGAACCTGGGGGGAAAAAAACCAACTTGCTTTAGCTCCGGAGTGTCAAACATAAGGCCCGGGGGCCAGAACCGGGCTGTCCAGGGCTCTTATGCGGCCCGCGAGCAACTGATGCAAGGGAGGGAGTGCTCGGGGGGGGGGGATGGGTGGAGCCACTCCACTTACCAGCTGCTGTCCTTTATACAGTTTTTATTTCCGGTACCTGGCATTACATTTTATGGCACACACTGCCTGGCCCGGCAAAGTGACACTTATGTCAGATCCAGCCCTCATAACAACTGAGTTTGTCACCTCTGCTTTAGCTAGCTGGAAGGACTTCTTTGCAGACTCCCAGTCCTTGCCATGGATCACCAGCCCCAACACCCCACAAACCATATACCCTTTCCCCTCTATCACTGCTCTGATTTAAAGATCTGTGTTCAATTTGGTATTCTGTCATCTTTCGGAGATGTGGTTCACACAGGCAGAAGAATGTGGCGGTAGAATGTGGAGTCCCCTTTGCATGAAAAGAAACTTTGGGCCAACAGGAAGCTAGCACAGCAAAGGGAAATATTCCAGAATACCCTTTGCTTGTTCTGCTGCATTTCTATTTGTAAGAAGCATCTAACATAGAGAAGCATTAAAAAAAAAAAAGAAGTAACCACCCATAGCATGGTTGCCAACCTCCAGATGGGACTTGGCGGTCTCTTGGGATCACAACAAATATCCAGACTACAGAGACCAGTAACCCTGGAGAAAACTGGTTGTTCTGGAAAGTGGACTCTATGGCATCATACCCAGCTGAGCCAAACTGTGCCCTCCCCAGGCTCCATCCCCAAATCTCCATGAATGTCCCAATCCTGAGACACAGTCAGAAGTGGTGCAGTCCATTCCACCACCTCATTCTCCTCCATCGACCGGAACTCAGTTAAAATGGCTTCTGTGTTTCACTCCAACTGATTGAATCTGAGAAACTGAAATAT